TGAGTCGGGTCCGACTTGATGACACATAACAACAACAATTGCTTTTTCATAGCAGTTGACTATTTCCTTGTAATTTGTAAGGATTGTTTTTGAAAGTTAATCGGTAAATTTATTTTCCCTTTTTTTTTTCTGTTTTGAACATTTTACTGTGGTTTGGGTGAAAGTTTACAGGGCAAATTGGTTTCCCACTCAACAGTTAATACACATTGTATTTTGTGACATTAGTCAAAATCCCTTCAGTGTGACAATACTCTTCTCACTTCCTCTCTGGCTTACCCATTTCCATTTGCCCTCTTTCCTGCCTTCTAAACTTTGTTTCTGAGCAAATGCTACCCTTTTGGTCTTGTGTGGGTGACTGTTATGAGGGGTATGTTTCTCATAGGTGTTACTTACTAACTTTATAGTCTTATCTATTGTTTGACTGAAAGGGGATATCCAGGGGTAAGTTCACTTCCAACTTTGAAGAATATCTAAGGGCCATAGTCTCAGGGATTTCACTAGTTTCTAGGAGACCAGTAAGTCTACTCATTTTTATGATTTTGAATTTTGTTCTAAAGTTTTCTTCCATCTTACCCAGAACCTTCTATTATCCTAATCAAAGTGGTCAATATTGGTAGGTGGGCACCATTTAATTCAGGTTTCAGGCTCATAGGTGCTGTGGTTTGTGTGGTACTAATTGCTTCCTTGAGTCTTTGATTATCTTCACTCTTCTTTGCTTCCAACACAGAGAAAATATTGCACATTAGAAGGCTGCTCACAAGCTTTTAAGACCTCAGTTGACCTTGATGTCCCTCAAGACTATGGTCCGAAGCCCCCAAGCCAAGTGCCACAGTCTCAAGATTTTTGGTTATGGCTAAGAAATTTTCATAACTTTGCCCCCTATATTCTCTACTATATACGTGCATCTATTTATAGCATATATAGATATATATATAGAAATACCCTCTGCCAAACATTTATGCATTCATGGGTTACTCCCATACACCATCTCACAACTTGCATATCTACCTATGTATCCACTCATAAGTTATTGTTTGTTGTTATAGTTAATGCATGATGTATGTCATAGTATTTACTACTGTTGCCTTTTATTCTTGTGTACCTCCCAGTGTCTTCCTTTGCCTTGGTTATGTTGTGCTGACCTTCCTGTTCATTCAAGTTAATACATGTCTACTATCTAGTTAGTTATTTACCCTTCCTTAACCTCTGATCCCTGGTAACCATCAAAGAATGTTTCTTTCTGTGTGTAAACCTTTCCTTAACTTTTTATAGTAGAGGTTTCATATAGTATTTGTCTTTCTGTGATTGACTTATCTCACTCAGCATAATGTGCTCCAAGTTTGTCTGTGTTATGAAGTGTTTCACAAATTCTTCATTATTGTTTAACATTGCATAGTGTTCCCTTGTGTGTATGTTTATACTGTAGATTGTTTACCCATTTTTCTGTTGAAAGACACTTAGGTTGTTTCCTTTTTTTTTTTTTTTTGCTATTCTGACTAGTGCTGTGATAAATATATGTAAACATATATGGCTCTTATATCTCCACTTATGAATCTAGTAGTGGAATTGCTGGATCATATGGTTTCTTTATTTGTAATATTTTGAGGAAGTCCCATATTATTTTCAACAGTGGTTGGACCATTTTACAATCCCACCAGTAGTGTATGAGTATTCCCTTATCTCCAGCAGCATTTGTTTCCTTTTTTTTGTTGTTGTTGTTTTCACTGCTTTTGTTGCAGAATGAGATGGTATCTTCTTGTTGTGATTTAGATCTCTAATGGCTAAAAATCACATATTAATCTTCATGTGTTTGTTGGCTGCCTGAATGTCTTCTTTGGTGCACTGTCTATTCATGTTCTTTCCCCATTTCTTAAATGGATTGTTTGTCTTTTGGTTGTTGAGGTACTGGAGTTTTCTATAAATTTCAGAGATTAATCCTGTGTCAGATAAGTCATTGCCAAAAATTGTGTTACAATCTGTTCTGGTTACCTAGTGCCAGTGAGGAGAGAGAACCTAGGCATGCCCAAAGCAGCAGGGTGGGAGAACAGGAGAAAGGGTATTAAAAGCTCAGAACCTGGACAGAGGAGCAGTCAGCCGCAGGGATCCAGGTGAGGAGAGAGAACACAGGCATGCCCAAACAGCAGGACGGGAGAGTGGGAGAAAGGGGAATAAAAGCCAAGAACCAGAACACAGGAGCAGTCAGTTGCAGGGATCCAGGTGAGGAGAGAGAACCTGGCACACCCAAAGCAACCGAACAGAAGAGCAGGAGAAAGGGAATTAAAAGCCATGAAGCCAGACAGAGGAGCAGTCATCCGTAGATGTCCAGGTGAGGAGAGGGAATCCAGGCACACCCAAAGCAACAGTGCAGGAGAGTGGGAGAAAGGGGAATAAAAACCAGGAACCCGGACAGTGGAACAGCCAGCTGCATGGATCCTGGTGAGGAGAGAGAACCCAGGCATGCCCAAAGCAGCTGGTCAGAAGAGTGGGAGAAAGGGGATTAAAAGCCAGTCACCTGGACAGAGGAGCAGTCAGCCGCAGGTTACCAAGTGAGGAGAGAACCCAGGCACGCCTAAATCAGCAAGATGGTAGAGTGGGAGAAAGGGGATTAAAAACCAGGAACACAGACAGAGGAACACTCAGCTGTAGGAATCCAGGTGAGGAGACAGAACTAAGGCATGCCCAAAGCAGCAGGGCGGGAGAGCAGGAGTAAGGGGATTAAAAGCCCAGGAATCCAGACAGAGGACCAGTGAGCCACAGGGATCCAGGTGAGGAGAGAGAACTGAAGCACGCCTAAAGAGGCAGGCGGGAGAGTTGGAGAAAGGGTATTAAAAGCCAGAAATCTGGAGAGAGGAGCAGTCACCTTCAGGGGTCCAGGTGAGGAGACGGAACCCGAGTATGCCCAAAGCAGAAGTATGGGATAGCAGGAGAAAAGGGAATAAAAGCCAGAAAGCTGGATGGAGGAGCAGTCAGCCACAGGGGTCCAGGTGAGGATAGAGAACCCACGCATGCACAAAGCAGCAGGATGGGAGAGTGGGAGAAAGGAGATTAAAAGCCAGGAACTAGGACAGAGGAACAGTCAGCCTCAGGGATCCAGGTGAGGAGAGAGAACCCAGGCGTGCCCAAAGCAACAGAACAAGAGAGCGGGAGAAAAGGGACTAAAAGCCAAGAACCCAGACAGAGGAGTAGTCAGCCATAGAGGTCCAAGTGAGGAGAGGGAACCCAGGCATACTCAAAGCCACAGCGCAGGAGAAAGGGGATTAAACCAGGAACCCAGACAGTGGAACAGCAGCCGCAGGGATCCTGGTGAGGAGAGAGAACCCAGGCACTTCCAAATTAGCTGGATGGAAGGGCGGGGGAAAGGGGATTAAAAGCCAGGAACCTGGACAGAGGAGCAGTCAGCTGCAGGGATCTAGGTGAGGGTTTAGAACTAAGGCACGCCCAAAGCAGCAGAGTGGGGGAGCAGGAATAAGGGGATTAAAATCCCAGGAAACCAGTCATAGGACCAGTGAGGCACAGGGATCCAGGTGAGGAGAGAGAACTCAGGCATGCCCAAAGTAGCAGGGTGTGAGAGCAGGAGTAATGGGATTAAAAGCCCAGGAACCCATACAGAGGAGCAGTCAGCTGCAGGGATCCAGGTGAGGATTTAGAACTAAGACATGCCCAAAGCAGCAGGGCAGGAGAGCATGTGAAAGGGCATTAAAAGCCCAGGAACCCAGTCAGAGGACTAGGGAGCTGCAGGGATCCAGGTGAGGAGAGAGAACCCAGGCACTCCTAAAGCAGCACGATGGGAGAGCGGGGGAAAGGGGATTAAAAGCCAGGAACACAGACAGAGGAGCATACAGCTGCAAGGGTCCAGGTGAGGAGAGGCAGCCAAGGCACACCCAAATCAACAGGATAGGAGAGTGGGAGCAAAGGGATTAAAATCCAGGAACCCAGACAGAGGAGTAGTCAGCCGCAGGGATCCAAGTGAGGAAGGAGGACTAAGGCACGCCCAAAGCAGCATGGAGGAAGAACGGGAGTAAGGAGGGTAAAAGCCCAGGAATCCGGACATAGGAGCAGTCAGCTTCAGAGGTCCAGGTGAGAAGAGGGAACCCAGGCACACCCA